GTTCGTGCGTTCGCAATGGTATTTCAGCACCCCTACCTTAGCCATGCTCAACCACCAACGCCCAATGTTCAGAACCACTCTCTGGCCAACTCCCACTCAATCGTCTGCTCACCGACCACAACCCGACCACCAACACCCCCCTCCCGATCTACTCTCCTCCCACTTTACCCTTTCCCCTCCTCGCCCTCCCCCTTCCCACCCACCTCACCACCACGGCCCCCCTCCAACCGCCGAATCACCCTCGCCGGATTCCCCGCCACCACCACAAAATCCTCCACATCCCTCGTCACCACGCTCCCCGCGCCCACCGTCACCCCCTTGCCAATCGTGACGCCGGGACAGACAATAACCCCGCCCCCAAACCAGCAGTCCTCGCCCACCACGATCGGCTTGCCAGACTCCGGGCCGCGCAGGCCGTTGCGCAAGGCCGGGTCCAGCGGGTGGGTGCCCGAGTAGAAGCTGCAGTTGGGCCCGACCAGGGTGCGGGCGCCGATGCGGATGGCGCACGTGTCGATGAAGGTGGCGGAGGAGTTGAGATAGACGCCGGGGCCGAAGCTGCGTGGGGTTGGGCGGTTTGGGGTGAGTACCTTGGCTGCCTACGCTGGGTAAGGGTGGAGGGGGGGGGGGATGGGAGTGGAAGGGTGATGATACCTAGGTAGGGAATGAGAATGGGAATGGGGGCTTACGTGCACTGGGTCCCGTAGTCGAATTTGATCGGGCTGTCGACCCAGGGGTAGTCTCTCAGGACGGCTTCCTCTTCGGGGCTGCCCGGCGGTGGGAGCGGTGTTTCGTCGCGGACGATGCTGTTGGCGGTGAGTGATGTTCCGAGAAAGTGGCCGGGGTCAGCCCAGGACAAGGGGACATACTCTTTCCACAATTCCACCAGTTTCCGGCGCGGAGCCCCGGCGGCGTCTTGCGTGTTGTAGGCGTTGCAGGCAACCTTGCACCGGAGGCGGTCTGCGATAAGATCAGGAGTGAAGGCATAGTACAGCTCACCGGCGAGCATGCGGCGCCGGTTCTCAACCAGGTCAAGTTTGTTCGGGTCCATAGTGAGGTCTATCGCCTCGGACGACGTTGATAGCCGTAAGTCTGGACCTTCGTCCCTTGGTTGGCTGTAGCCTGTCGGGGGCGGGGTCAAGACTCGGTCGGCTCCGGGTTTATAGAGTTGCCGGAGGGGTCCCGACTCCAGCGGGTCAACTTTCTCGGGGGTTCCCCATAACGGACTTGGCGGTATTGCCAAGTCACAGAGTCAGGGGGCTTGGAGCCTAAAGTGCCGGAATTTGAGAGGAGCTCGTATACTGTCAAAGGAGCGCAAGACAAAACAAAAAAAAAACAAAAAAGAAAGAATAATGCATTTGTGAAGGATTCTTGCTGCATTCGCGTCAAGACTCATGCCCTTCGTGTTCAGTGATGATGTCATTAGGTCGCTTACTGAAACAAGTTGTCTTTCTTTACGCCAGGAAGTTGCTGTATGTACCAGTAAGCGAGATGAAAAGTCCGTTGTAGGAATTGTATGGAAGTGAGGAATTGGTCCCCCGCTCCCGCTCACGCTCCCGCCTGGCTCCTCCATCACTTTCTTTCGGTAATAGGTAGGTAGCGAGAATGCCCGGGGCGAAGCCTCAAGATCGCGCAAACCGACCGACCCAAAAGCTCCCTGGCCCCGGGCTCCGCGGGTCGCAGCTCGGGCGGGAGAAAACGACATCTTGACCAATCGACGGGAGGATGCTCAGGAGGTGGGCGTGGCAGCCACGCAGCTTGTGACTTGTATGTAGCGCATAGCATTCAACCGTTGCAACCAAGCTTTCCCTGCTCGGTCAACGTTTAGGTTCAATCTCGGATCACCTCCGAGTCTTCACTGGCCTCCGCGGACGGCGAGAGGTGAAGTGTCACCTGCCGAGCCACCCAAAACAGACGTACTCGGCGCTGCATGGACCATGATGGACGCGACGACACAGTACAGATTACCAAGTACTTGGTATGTCCTTCAACTTCCCAAACCAGTGAAGGATGACAATGGCCCAGGTCTTATTGGTTGAATGCGACAAGGAAACCCGTGTTGATGCGGATAAAAAGCAGGGCGGACCGATGAGCGGTCCAGGGTATGTCAGCCGTGCGAACCGGACTGGAACCTTTGGTGGGTCGTAGAATCCTATTAGCTTGACATGATTTCCATCTTGTTAACAATGCCACCCTACTGCCCGCTGTGGTGACGCGGCTCGATCCTGGACCCCCCGGCGACCTGTCATCCATCCGCGCTGTTGCCCTACGGACCGATCTTTGTTCCACTACCGACGTGGTACTGCAGTAAGAGGCTGTGCTAGCCATGCTGCCATGAAGAGGAATGCGTGAATGTCGCATAGTGATTGATCCCGGAATTAAACCCAGCTTGCTGTACAGGTCCGGCGGGAACGGACCAAGAAGCTGGGAGCCGTCCCCGAGAGGCTTGAAGATCCAATTGAGAGCGAGGGAAACTTCCCGTGGGGAAATTACCTTACCTACATTCCGTAAAAACCTTAGTATAAATGTCAAGCAACCAGCCAGCTTCAATGATGCCGTGACACCCACCATCACCTCCCAACTCAAGTCCCGCCTACAGTCACAGTCGTGATAGCCGCTCAAGTCTCAACGCATCAATATGAGAACCTCCCTGCTCCCAGCTCTCGCCGCCGTCACCCCGGTCCTCGCCGGGTTTGACACCTGGTCGCCCCCGGGGCCGTATGATGGTAATGGCGGCAAATCATAAAATGCAAGACTACGGGAGTAAACCGCTAACCAGTATCCGATTGCAGTGCGAGGCCCATGCCCCATGCTCAACACCCTTACCAACCACGGCTTCTTTCCTCACAATGGTCGGAACATCGACCAGGAGACGACCGAAAACGCCCTGTTTGATGCCCTCAACCTGAACAAGACCCTGGGCAAGTTCCTCTTCGACTTTGCCTTGACCACCAACCCGATCGCCAACGCAACCACCTTCTCTCTGAACGATCTCGGGAACCACAACGTCCTCGAGCACGACGCCAGTCTCAGGTATGACAATTAACAATGCTGCTCTCTGGAACAATATCTAACGCCGCGCAGCCGGGCCGATGCTTACCACGGAAGCGTCCTCACCTTCAACCACACCATCTTCGAGGAGACCAAGTCCTACTGGACCGACGAACTCATCACCCTCAAGATGGCCGCAGATGCGAGATACTACCGGATCAAGACTTCGCAGGCCACCAACCCGGAGTACACCATGTCCGAGCTCGGCGATGCCTTCACCTACGGAGAGTCCGCTGCCTACGTCGTTCTCTTCGGCGACAAGGAGTCCAAGACCGTTCCAAGGAGCTGGGTCGAGTGGCTCTTCGGTAAGTCCACCTGTTCGCTGCGATCGGCAGTCGGATAAAATGAGTCGAGAAGCTAACGTTCCGCCTGTGTTAAAGAGAAGGAGCAGCTGCCCCAGCATCTTGGGTGGAAGAGGCCGGCCGTGGAGTTCGTGCAAGGCGATTTGGAGAGGTTCATGGACGAGATTCAGAACATCACCAAGGAGATCGAGGCGCCTGGATGCGAGTCTCGCAAGCAGCGCCGCAAGGCCCGCGTTCCCTCCCACTTCGGCTTCTAATCGGTGAGACAATGGATGGGAAGGGGGTGGACCGACCATACCTCCAGCGCCAATACCATCCCGAAAATCAGTAGATCTTAGTTAAGTACCTACGGTACACAACGACTGCAGCTCGAGACAATCCAATTATTATCTACTACACAGTCTGCGGGGGGCACTCCCCATTTTGCAAAGTGAATATTCGCTCAGTTTAGTACATATTAGTGCCTATTGGATCACGCCCTTCGCGACCCAGATATACCGATCTCTAGGTAGGTACCTACCTACCTAGGTACTTCTACAGAAATGTTACGGCGAGGTTCAAAACGTTCTTCCCAACCAACCGTGACCACACACGCATAGTTGAAAACAACTGGCACCTGTGCTCACGTAATGCGCGACAGTCTGACAGATCTTCTGCCACAGTATGCCGCTCAGCCGCACCGCAACCTGCCGTGGTGCGACCAACCTTCCCCAAAGGGGCGCCACGCGTTCACCGGTATATGGTGTTCCTCGGGAAATTAATGGGCAAAGCTGAGACGCGCTGTCCCGGCTCCCCCGAGACAACCCGCTCGTGATGCATATTCGTTCGACAATAGCCGCTGAAGTTAGATGGTAACGTAAGCGTAAGCTGGCAATGCCCGGTGTAGTTTGCGAACACATCGGTACGTTGCTAATTCACGGGAACCATTTGCAAGAAACTCGGTGCCTCCGCTGGCCCCAATCAGTTCAGCTGTTCGCCCACGGCTACACTCGTAATGCGGGCTGACCCCAAGGCCGATTGCTACCCAACGCTCCGGCGGAGACGGAATTCGGAGACGGAACAACACGACAAGTGCAGGGCACCCACCTCCGGCCATCTTGAGTAGCAAGGCGCCATTTCCGCCGATATAGGTCGTATTCAACTCAACATAATCTTATCTCCAGTTGGGCAGCCAAGATCCCCCTATTCCATCAATAGAGCTCCCAATGTCCCACTCGAGCTCCCACGGAGGCTGGGCTTCCTACTGCACCATCATACCTGCCACCTCCCATTGTAAAACTCCGCCCCAAACGCCTTGCCTGCAGGCAAGGTCTCCCAAGTGTCAGCACGACGCAAGCCCCGTGGCTGGTTATTCGGGAAGAGGCGGAGTGGAACAAAGGGCTAGTGTATTTGGGCTCTCATGTGCATGGCATGGATATAAGTCGGCGTTCGTCTTGGAAATCCCGACGGTGGCTAGTGTCAAGTACTTCCCGACAGCCCTCCAGCCGGACCCTCGGGACCATCAAACGAAATCCATGTTGGCCCCTTGCCGAGGGGGGACAGCAATCTGGGACCATGATATGTTATAGGGGGTTTGGGGTATGGTAATCCATCTACCGCGACGTGACCTTGTTGGTTAAATCTGGAATCTACCGTTGTGTGTTTATCTAGGCCGGAATAGCTCAGTGGTAGAGCGCATCACTCGTACCTTTGCGTAAAATAACGAGGGTAAATGATGAGGTCCACGGTTCGATCCCGTGTTTCGGCATTCACCGGAAAGGGCATGAATCAGTTTAACTTTTTGTCCTGAAGTAGACGACGTAGGAAAGTGGAAACAGTCCTCAGATGAAGAAAACACGGGAGCGCCCTAGTTATTTTGTAATAATACCATTGGGGAGAGAGAGTACCTAGGAAAGGAGGACTAGTGCCCTAAACACTTAAGAGCCACCAATCCGGAAACAACTTAAACTCATGGGGCCGTATCTCAAGGCACATGCACCACAAGGAATTAGCAACAACGATAAAAGGCCATGGTGAGTGTGCCTCGAGCAACTAGATATAGCGAGTTTGCTAGGTTAGGTAGCTGGCCGGTATGGGGCTGAAGCTAGAGGTACGAATCCAGAGGTTTCGCCCATGCTGATAAGAGAAGGCTAAAAACCACATCAGCCCCCGTCCAAGAACGGTTGCCTCGTTCAAGTTTTGGTTTCCGAGATAAAAGGCGCCGGCTCCGAGGCAAAGAAAGAGGGTAGAATAACAGATTATGGGAAAGCTATACAAGTCGAGGTAGCCCGTAACAATTTAGTGTCTAAAAAGAGGTGTTTTGGCGGTTCGACAGGGCACTAGTAGTTGGAGATTTTGGATAGGACTCAGGTTGGGAATTTGGGATCCATCATCGCGGTTGGTTTCGACCATCTGGTGGGAGGCCCTCTCTAGATCACAACAACCTCGACCCGCGAAAGATACGAGTGGAAGTCCGACGGAAGCGTGGCCATCATCGACTTCAACCACGCCAACCTGGGTATAACCAGTTCACCATCTACGGGCCCGATCACCCGCGGCAACTCGACCCGCGCCCACTGTCGGAATCACCCATCGACCGGTACTGGCCAGTCCCGTTTGGCTGCCCGGCCCCCGAATACGAAAGACCCGGCGCCCGGGCCCGTTGGGTCCCTGACAGTTGGCTCCAGGATGTGAACTTGGCGACAGAGTTGTTGGTAGAGACGTAGGGGGTCGGCCAAGTATGCTCCCCTCTCGCAGGAGAGGCTGGATTGGGTGCTTCAGGACAAGAACAGTGGGTGATCCGTGGCTTTGCTGGAGAGCCTCGGGCGTAGGCCGGTTGATCAACTTGAATCTTCGATTTAGGTGGTGAGGTTGGCGTGTACTATGTTTCTATGTGGGTTCGATCTGCTGGGTAAAACTGAACAATGTATCGAGGCACGATGTAAAGTGGCATAGGCATCTGAGAAGACGATGATTTTGTAGTATGGCAATGAGCTATTTGATACATGATGGCTGTACAAGAGGTAAACCCGAGTTAACTCGGTATTATGTATTATTGCAGTATAAAGGCTATTGCTGCTCGCTCCTCAGGCTTGCAAAGCTCCAACTTAAAGGTGGAGCTTGGCCTCGACCTCGGCGACCTGGCCGCAGATCATGGACTCGTTGCCACCGGCGCGGCAGTAGGTCGGGACCTCGGTGTTGCCCCAGAAGCCGAAACTGCAAAGCGCGCAAGGTTAGTCGTACTCAGATACTCGGGGGAATGACGTCAACTTACGCAGGGGCGGTCTGGTGGTAGACCGTGATCTTGTAGACGTTCTGCTCCGTGATCTCGTCGACGCTGAAGCGGTACTTGTCCCAGCTCTCGTCGCCGCCCTCGCAGTTGTAGGTCTCGGGCTTGAACTTGATCGAGTCCTCGCCCTCAGCAGCAGAGGCCGAGCAGACGACGCCGATGGTGCCCGCCTCGCGGCTGGCGGTGATCTTGAAGCTGACCGAGCTGACGGGGCCGTCGAGGGTGCCGTCGACGAGGTGGAACTTGCGGGCGTAGAAGTCCGTGATGCTGACAGTCTCCTTGATCTCGGGCGTCTCGGCCTGGGGGGCCGGGGCGGCGAGGGCGGCGCCGAACAGAGCGGCGGTGGCGGCGAAGGTGAAACGCATGTTGATGGTTGTTTTGGGGAGAACGGGTAAAGTAACGAGTGAGTTGTGAGTTGACTGTTGAGTGTTGAGTGTTGTGTGTGAGAGATGAGTGCTGATGAGCTTGGGAAAGAAAAGAGACCTTTGACGGAGAGTGACGACAAACTTTATACGTTTCTCGAGAGAACGGTTACATGGTGATGGGCAGCTAAGGTAGCATAAACTAGGTAATTACATCGATTGGTGGGATTATGCTCTGATGTCAACAACAATGGGGCGAACAGGGACAAACAGCGGGCCCCGTTCTCGGCTGAGCTGCCACTCTAGGTGGAGTTGCCCTCAATACGAGAATTCCAAGCACCCCACAGGGAGGTCTCCTTGCGACCTACCTTGTTGGGCTGACGTCAAAGTGCTTGACATACCCACTGGGACTGGGGTCTACATGAGCTCGTACGTACAAGTACGAGTAAAGCGATCGAGTTAAAGCGTCGGCGTTGCATCACATGCAACTATACACGAACTGGGCGAACCGTCACCGCTTAATCGTGAGCAGTTGATGAAGAGCGTGAAGGTACGTACATACCTCGGTAGGAGAGCCAAGGTTTCCAACGTCCAAGCGAGTACCCTGCAGGGTGCGACAGCAGCAGCACGTCCTCATCTTCATGCCGTCCTCCCGTTTCCTTTCACCGCATCGGAGCATCGGCGCATCAATCCTTGAACCCGCCGGCCGGCCCACGGTGGCAATGTCGGCCGAGAAACAAGGCCGGGCTTCTCACGGGAGAGCGGCTCTGCAATGACGGGTCTTTTCGATGCCGTAGGTGTGGTTCGGGGTTCAAAGGGGGATCGGCGGGGGACGATCAGCAAATGCCAGACTGTTTTAGGGGGGACCCTGCACTGCCCTGACATCAACCCAACGGCCAACGGCTGCGGAAAAACACCGCCGTTAGATTCCGCATGACTCGTCAACCACGCAGATGGCAAACCATGGTGATCTGCATGGCAATACCGTTGTTGTTTCCTCGTGTTTCTTCCTCGTGTTTTCTCGGACATCCCGACATGTCTGATCTTGACACTTAATCCGCCGGTAGTTCCCCGCTTGAGTCCGGGGCCTCCGCGGATCTTCGTCTGAAGCCGAACATGTCGCGCGAAGAGCCGAAGACATGGAAATTGTATCTATCGGGGGGTTTCAACCCACAACTTGACACTTTCTTCGTGCCTCAACTTCTCAAGCCCCACGCTGTTTTGTTTCTGATCCGATTCGAATCGGAGCTAAAGATACACGATGAATTAACAATGCATTCAACAATGCAAAGGAAGAAATACACACAAAGTATTGAGATATTAACTTGGAACATTGCGAACTGCCCCGATCTAACCTCCAAACTCGCCGCTTACCAACGTTCGCAACCCCAGGACGAATAGCTCAGGGGTAGAGCAACCGGCTGCAGTCCGGTAGGTCACGCGTTCAAATCGCGTTTCGTCCTCATCTTTTTCCCTCTCCCTCACCGCTTATTTTTTTCCCGTATTCTCCCTCTCTCCCCCCTCCATCAACCCACTCATTATCCGCAGCATCACACCTAGGTAGGTACGGTAGGTAGGTATCAACCCACCAACCTCGCCCCAAACCCCCCCACCCCCTCCCCAAACCTCTCCAACGCCCTCACATACTCCGCCCACCCCTCCCCAGACACGGACGCACCCGATGCAGCGGCCGCCGCCCCCCCAAACACAACCTCCTCCAACCGCCTTACCTCCACATACCCCCACACCACCGCCTCCCACGCCCGACAAAACTCAACCTGCGCCGCCCGCCCCGCCAGCCGGAACGCGCCCCGGTTGGCGTCCGCCCGCTGCGCCGACCGCCAGAACATGTCCAGCATCTCGGCCGTGCGCGCGACGGTGCGGTCGACCGCGTCGAAGAAGGCGTGTAAGGGGGAGAGGTCGGCTGCGCGCTGCTCGGAATGGGCGAGGTGGGTTTCGTAAGTGGTGAGGAGGGTGAAGGTGGTTTGGAGGGCTTGTTGGAGCGCGGTGGTGTAGAGGAGGAGTTGGAGGATCTTTTGGGGGTGGGTTGTGAGGGGGGGAATTGGGCCTCGAGTTGGGGTGGTGGTGGTGGTGGTGGTGGTGTGGGTTGGGGTTGGGGAAGGGGTTCGGCTGGGCGGGTTGGGGGTGCTGGTGCTGGGGCTGGTGTTGGTGTTGGTGTTGGTGTTTGGGTAGGTGCGTGTTCCTGTTCCTGGTATGATGGGTATTCCTGGTATGGTGGAAGTGAGCTTGCCTGGTACTGGGGAAGTGAGCTCTCTCCATGCTGAGGAACTGAACTTTCTCGGTACATAGGAAGTGAGCTTTCCTGATAATGAGCCTTCTGCTTTGGATCCTGCTGCCGCGCGAGTCTCCTGGCCTTCTCTGCCTCGCAATAGAGGTGGTAGAGTGATTCGCGCTGTTGCTCGACTCGGTCTCTCTGGATCTGCTCCCAGCTGTCGATGCCCTCCCTAAGGATATGATCATGCCCTTGAGCCCACTCCTCATAGACCGGCTGCGATTGTTGTTTCTGCCGCTGCTGCTGCTCCCACGCCTGCACTGTTTGGTTCTTTGGGCCAGACGCGCTTGGCTGCCGTCGCTGCTGGCGGGTTTCCTCTTGCAAGAAGTAGGGTTGCTCTGTTGGCTCTTGTTGCAGTGGGGGTGCGTCCTCTAAAGCCTCCGAGTCTGACGTATCAAGGTCAGCTTCGCCTCCACTTTGATCTTGCCACATCTCCGGCGGCCCGTGAGGGCTCTGTTGTCGTTGGCTTGGGTGATTCCGGCGGGGCTGGCCTCGGCCCTGTTGCTGATGTTGTTGGCGGTAATCAGAGCGCCGGGGTTTCTGTGGATTCTCCCATGGCTCGATTACTTTCCTTTGCTCAAGCTCACCTCCTCCATCTTGGTCTGCCCAGCGTACTCCCTTGCCTCTGTTGCCCTGTTGTTGGCCATTTCGGTGAGGCCCTTTTCCCCTGTTGTGGCCTTGTCCTCCAGTTTGCTGATAGCCCCCCTCATGATTTTGATGTTGCTGATGATTCTGGTGAGGATTTTGTTGTTGATGGTTTTGGTGATTTTTCCCATTTGGCTGCTGACGGCTCTTGGGATTGTATCTACCATTTCCGTTTTTGT